TGTCGCCAGGGGAGGGAAGGAGCGGCGTCCGTTCCGCCGAGTCACGGCGGCCGAGTCACCGTGGCTGACTCACCCGGGGCGCCCCTCCCTTCCTGGCCCAGAACGTCCGGGGCCCCGACAACCTCGAGAGAGAGCGGGAGATGCCGCCAGCGCTCCCTGGATCCCGGAACTGGGGTCACTGGGCCCCCAGAGCGGGGCCAGGGACACCACTGTATGGACTTGCCTGGGCTTGAGCCGGCTCTTCCCGGAGGACTGGGCGCCCACACCCAGAGCCCAGCCCCAGAGCTTGAACCCAGTTTTCCCGAACACTGAACCCCATCTCAACCCATCCCTCCCATTGCTGGCTGTAAGAGAATAGTGGCAGGTAATTCCTGGAGCGCACGCAGTACAGCCAGGCATCGTGCTGGGCAGTTTTCAAATCATTTACCGAATTTCACAGAATCTAAGACCCCAATGATTTTAAAACCCAGCCACCAATTCTTTTATTTTTTAAATCTTTTTTTAATATATTTTATTGATTTTTTTACAGAGAGGAAGGGAGAGAGATAGTTAGAAACATTGATGAGAGAGAAACATCGATCAGCTGCCTCCTGCACATCTCCCACTGGGGATGCACCCGCAACCCAGGCACATGCCCTTGACCGGAATCGAACCCGGGACCCTTCAGTCCGCAGGCTGACGCTCTATCCACTGAGCCAAACCGGTTTCGGCTATTTTTTAAATCTTTACTGTTGAAAGTATTACATATCCTCCCCTTCTCCCCTACCTCGCCCCACTGACCTCTTTTAACCCGCCTCCACCTCTCAATCATTATTATTTTTTAAATTCTCACCTGAGGATATTTTTCCCATTGATGTCTAAGAGGGTAGAAAGGAAGGAGGAGGGAGAGAGAGAGAAACATCAATGTGAGAGAGACACATCGATTGGTTGGCTCCCACACAGGGGTGCCCCTATGGGGGCTCGGGAACCCGCAACCCAGGTACATGCCTTTGTCCGGAATCGAACGGAGACCCTTCAGTCTGCAGGCTGATGCTCTAACCATTAAGGAGACCATCCAGGGCACCACTTTTTTTTAAAAGTCACCAATTAAACTGAACTCAAAGCTACTAAAGGGTATGGGCGCTCTCCCTCCTGGGAGCGTGCCACACCTTTCCCTTCCCCCTCCCTCTCCCAAACCTCCCCAGGCGCATTACCATCAGCTTCCTCACTCCCAAGCTCCAAGGCCCTTCCTTTACCTAAAAATTATAATAATAATAATAACTGCACAGCCTGGACCGAGCGCAGTGGCTCTTGACTTCCACAGCCTTCACCGGGCTCTGTCACACACATCCTCTCACCTGATTCTCACAGCTACCCTCAGAGTTAGGAGCTATAATTATCCTCTTTGAAGAGTCTAGCTGCTAGGGCCCAAATCCTACCTCCCACTTACTGGCTGTGTGTCTGAGGACAACTGTTTTCCTGTCTGAAAAAGAAGATACTGCTGTGCAAATTATATGAGTCAGTATTTGTAAAGTGGTTGGGACAGGGCCTGGAATTCACACTTTATAAGTATTAGCTCTGATGGGGAAGTGGAAGTTCAGAGAGGTTATGTGACTTGCGAAAAGTCACACAGCTCAGGAGAAGTCCCTTTAACTGGGGTGGGTAGCAGTGTGGCTTTTATCCGCGGGAAGCCCCCAATTCACACAGACCTTACCCCTGGCCTTCCATGTCTTGTCCCTCAGAAGTTCCACCTGGTGCCGAGCATCAATGCTGTGAGTGGCAGCCAGGAGCTGCAGTGGATGGTTCAGCCTCACTTCCTGGGACCCAGCAGCTACCCCAGACCTCTGGCCTATCCTCAGTACAGCTACCCACAGCCCCGGCCAGGAGTCATCCGGGCCCTGGGGCCACCTCCAGGGGTGCGTCGCCGGCCCTCTGAACAGGTAAGCAGAGGCTTTGCACTGGTCTGATTCCCACAGGAGGATAGCTCTTGCCCAAAGGAGAACACAGGCTTAGAAGCGGGGAGAAGGTAGCACCACTAGTGACTATTGGCCAAGGTGGACTTATAGTCAATAGTAACTATTGAGAGGAGACTCTAGGAAGACCCAGGAGGCAAAGAGGTCACCTTTGGATCAGGGAATGCTTCCTGGAGGTGGAGGCATATTAGTCTAGAAAAATGGGTAGGATTTGCCTAGATATAGTTGAAGGAAAGGACATTCCAGGTAGAGGGGATGGCAGGAGCAAGAATGGAGGTGGAGGGAGAACTTGTAAGGTTCATGTGGAAAGGTACGTGGACAGTAAAGGGTATCCACCTGCTGACATGTGTGGAGAGGGTGGGCTTATGTTGTCTACGTCTATATAGCTGGGGAGAGAACAGGAGACAGTTCCCTTTAGCTACTCTCTGAATCTCAGTTTCCCTATCTCATTTAAAACCTCCCTAAAACCCTCTGGCGAATGTACTCTGGTTTTCCCCATCTTAGAGCCCAGGAAATGAAGGCACAGAAAGATAAAGTCACTTGCCCAAGATCACACAAGTAGTGAGTAATGAGACAGGTCTGTCCAATTCTAAAGTGAGATCCTAACCACCAAGCCACACTGTCTCACCCAGATCTAAGAGAAGGTTTGAAGAAGAGTGAGCTGGGAATTTTTGCTTCCCCAATTTTTCCTACCCACACACTAATAAAGTCCTTAGCAAAATAGAGAGAGAAAAAATAATAAAGAGATAGAGTCTTTAAGGGAGTGGTGCCACTTTCCTTTCCCTGGAACGTTTCAGTATAAGAGACTGTAGTGGGTGAGGTTTGCACATTAAACAGACTGCTCTGCCAGGCAGGATAGAGAATGGGGAGGGAGCCTGGGCTCCTGGGAAAGATGTGCTATTGGGAGGCTTTCCCAGAAACAGAATGGCTGGCCCCCCAGAGGCAGGCTTCTGGACTTTCTTCCTTCAGCCCTGTCCCGAGGGTGATTTGACCCTGGGTACTCTTAGACTGGGGCTGTGAGCTATAAGTGGGTTCCTTTGGCGGGGAGATGCTTTTCATCAGCTGGCCTCTCATTCAACATAGAATAGAGTGGATTTTAATTTCTGCTCTAGGGGCATAAACAAGTTATTCATCTTCCCTGGGCTTCAGTTCCTTACATGGAAAGTTGTGTTAAGAATCTAAGAAAAGCACTTTGCTGGCACACAGTAGATTCCCAGTAAATAATTGCTTAGCAAGCCCTAACTGGTGTCGCTCAGTGGATAGAGCCTCAGCCTGCGGAATGAAGGGTCCTGGGTTTGATTCTGGTCAAGGGCACATGCTCGATTTCGGTCTCGATCCTCAGTGGGGGGAAGGCAGCCAATCAATGATTCTCAATCATCATTGATGTTTCTCTCTCTCGCCCTCCCCCTTCCTCTCTGAAATCAATAAAAATATATTTTAAAAAATTAACTGCTTAGCAGCATTCATTGGCCCCTCCTAATGCTTACAGCCTACGGAGAAAAGGAGACTTGGCTATCAAGAGACTGTAAAGAATAGGGGTCCTTCGAAAAAGAGTGGCGGGTTCCCACCAGCTCTAAGGAGCAAAGGCCACTTCTGGCTGGGAAATGAGAGGCAGCTTCTTGGAGGCAGATGCATCTTTTATTTTGTTGTTGTTAATCCTCAACCGAGGATATTTTCCCATTGATTTTTAGAGAGAGTGGACGGGAGGTGGAGAGACAGAGAGAGAAAGAAACATCTCTGTGAGAGACATATCCATTGGTTGCCTCCTGCATGCACGTTCCCCCGCCAGGGCCGGGGATGGATCCTGCAACCCAGGTACATGCCCGGGACCCTTCAATCCGCGGGCGACGCTCTATCCACAGAGCCAAACCGGCTAGGGGGCAAGGCAGAGACATCTTAGTTGGATCCTGGGACTTGAAGAGGATTAAGATTTGTAGAAGGGCAGAGGAGGGCATTCTGAGAAGGTAATCGTAGGAGGCAAAAGCTGGGTGCAAGGGGGAAAATTTAACTATTGCAAGTTTACTAAAGCGTGAGTTCCAGGAACCGGGCTGGGCGCGGAGGTCCTTAAAGTGCAGGAGAAGGGCGCCCCCGCGCTGCCATGCCCTCCACCAGGATCCTACCACTGGGCCACCCAGTGACTAGGCGATTGCCAGGCAGCCAGTGGCCCAAGATCCACCTCACTGTTTCCTCTATTCCCCAGATCAGCCCAGAGGAGGAGGAGCGCCGTCGGGTGAGGCGCGAGCGGAACAAGCTGGCCGCGGCAAAGTGCAGGAACCGGAGGAAGGAACTGACCGATTTCCTGCAGGCGGTGAGCATCGGCCGGTGCGGAGGGCGCCCAGGCCCTGGCCCACCAAACCTTCGGAGGGCCTCGCCTCCTGTGAGCCTGTAGGGCCCAGGGGGCGCTGGAGAGACAGGCCTTCGGAGAAAAGGACCAGGAAAAAGTACTGAGCACTGCACAGCCGAGCTGAAGCTCAGGCAGACAGTCTCCTAAGATGCCCCGGGACCTGATTGGAGTCCGGCACATTTTTCTCCCAAGGGCTCATGGGAATTGTAGTCCAGACTTGCTGAGGACTCCTCACCCTACCTCCAATTTCCTAAATCACCACCACCACCACGGAAGGCGACGCGGCATTCGGCCCTCATCTTCCTGACTCCTCTCCTGACCTTCTCCCTACAGGAGACCGACAAGCTGGAGGACGAGAAATCAGGACTGCAGCGAGAGATTGAGGAGCTGCAGAAGCAGAAGGAGCGGCTGGAGCTGGTACTCGAAGCCCACCGCCCCATCTGCAAAATCCCGGAAGGAGCCAAGGAGAGCGACACTGGTGGCCCAGGCGGTGCCAGCAGCCCACCAGCCCCCTCCCGCCCTGTGCCTTGTATCTCCCTCTCCCCAGGGCCTGTGCTTGAACCCGAAGCATTGCACACCCCCACGCTCATGACCACACCCTCTCTGACTCCTTTCACACCCAGTCTGGTTTTCACCTACCCCAGTACGCCGGAGCCCTGTGCCTCAGCCCATCGCAGGAGCAGCAGCAGCAGTGGGGACCCATCCTCTGATCCCCTAGGCTCCCCCACCCTCTTGGCCTTATGAGGCACTCTGGTTATCCTCCCTGGCCAATATCTCCCCATCCATTGGTCCAGCTGGCCTGGGCTGTATCCCATGCTCAACCCCAGCAGGTTCTCCATCCCTCCAGATGAGACTGAGCCTATTGTGCTTCCTGGCAGAGCCAGCTTGGGGCTACCAAAGCTGCTCAGTTTCTCTAGAGCTCGCCTCTCTAGCACAATTTGCATTAAATCAGAGACAAACTATTTTCCATTTATGCAAGAGAACTCCTGGCAGCCCCAAAGGACTTTATAGACCTCTAGAGGTTTTCTGGAGCCCTAACCCCCTCCAGGCCTTCCCTAAGTCTTCACTACCCTCTTCCTGTGATCCACCCAACCATACCCCCGGACAGAAGGTGATATGATACCAGCCTAGAACACTAACTCACCCAGCCCCACTGCCAGCAGCACCCGGTGATTGAACCAGGGCATTCTGCCATCCCCTCCAGAAATGGCACCGTTCAAGAGAGTGCTAGAGACTTCTGTGATGAGCTGAGCTGCAGCCCCTGGCTCTGAGAAGACTTTAGCTCCAGGGAATCTAAGCTCCACTGCAAGGGCAGCTGCTATTTATTTTCCTAAAGAGAGTATTTTTATACAAACCTGCCAAAATGGAATAAAAGGCTTGAAGCTCTGGCCTGGTTTCATTGGATTCAGAGGCTAAAGGGAAACCATTTGGATCCTCAAAACATTTGGCTCAGGTCTCAGCTCCACAGACTCACTGCATGACCTTGGACAAATTATTTGAGATTTCTGGACCTCCATTGTGTCTTATCTGACAAATGAAGCTACATCTGCTCTGCCTCATCTCCAGGATTGAGAAAAAGAGTGCTGTGGGATGCAAGCCAAGAGGATTACCATCCTCCTCGGGGTGGAGGCCCACCTTGCTCCTGGGTGTACCACAGGAGGGCGCTGTTATGCCCTTCCAGCCAGAGAGGAGGCGGCTGAGTGGGTTCTAGGCCCCCAACACCTGCTTCCTGCCCCATTGTCTTGGGCAGGAAGGAGCCGGGAAGGGAGCTGGAGCCACTTCAGCGGCCGGATCACGGCTGGTCCCGGAGCTTGCCGGCGGACGCGTAGGGGGTGGGGAGTGGTAGCCAGCGGCTTTCCACGGTCTCACACCGCTCCTGACTTGAGGTAATGAGGGGATATCAGACACCTTAGTTCTGCAGCCCCTCCGCATAGGAACCATACCCCGTCTCAGCGTCCCCGCCCTGGTCCTAACCCCGGCGAGTTCCAAACAGACGCTGCCATGGACTCTGCTTCCGTCCCAGTTTATTAGCCCCCACCCAGCCCCATGTCTAAGTCCGTGCCAGCGGCCCTTCGCGTGCAGCCGGGCGGCTTCCAGGTTCCGAGGTCCATCGCAATCCAGGCGCTTGGGGAGCCATCCGGGCGGGCGTCGGCGCAAAGGAAGCGATGCCCTCAGTCATCTGGGGAGCAAGCCAGGGGCAACTGATCAGGGCTGCCCACGCTGCCGGTGCTGGAGCTTCCATCGCCCAGGTCCCGGGGTCCGCAGGGGGGCAAGGCGAGCTCCGGTGTCGGACCAGCGCCTGAGCC